CACATATCAATAATTCTCTTTTAAGGGACTTTATACTAAAAAAAAGTAGGAGGTGCTATTTAAAAAAGTATCGATGACGTCATACACCTGTCAAATATCGCTCAAAACTTTTGAAACTACTATTACAAAATTTTTATATGCTAATAGACGGTTTTTGCGTTTTTACTTCTCGATCGTAAGCTAAGAAATATTGTTTGTTTTCTTTTATACTAGATAAATATTTTAGTTCCTTACTCTGCTCTACCTGCAAGCCGAGATACACTTGCCCCAGCTGAAAATAGCAGTAATAAAACTATTGTTAACGAAGCGAACGATTTTAACCCTTAGAGATGAATGGCAGCTGTCATAACGAGGTAGCATGGATTGTTTTACAAGTTGCATATCTTTTAAAATAGAAATTTTCTTGAGGTGTGCTGCAGCCTTAAATCCTGTGTAATCTATCTGAAGGTTCTTTATCCATTGCCCTTAGAAATCGAGGTTTAATAATTACAATTTTATTGTGAAACGTATCGGTAAATCAGGTCTGCAAAAAGTGCCGTTCTAAAGTTGTAATAGGCAACAGATGCCAAAACTGTAACTCAGTGTTTCATCCTAGCTGTGCAAGAAACTGTCCACATGTAAAATTAGTGGGTGATGTGACTGATGTGTTAATTTGCTGTGAAAAACTATCTGACCTTGTCTTGGATGACATATCCCGAGATGCAACGAACGAAATTTTGACGGAAGACTTTCCTAGAGTTTTCAAATATATCCTACAGCAAAAGGATGTTGTTATTGCTGAGTTAAGGGAGAAAATTGACGAGTTGAAGGAACAACTTGAACTATATAAATAAATAAGCAAAGTTGGTGGTAAAACGGTAATCAACAAAAAACATAGTCAGGCAGATACCATGGACAGGGAAAAAGATAACAACGCAAGCAAGAAAATCACGCCTAACCTAAAAATCACAAACAAGCAAAAGTCAGCTGCAGTTAGCAGTAATAATGAAACATCTCAAAAGTTTGTAACGGAGAAAAGAACGAAGGTACCTGTCGTGCAGACGAACACTTCTGAAGAGTAAACGACATGGAGAACTGTCGAAAGAAACAAAGGTAACAAGAAAATATCCAGGCAGAAATAGATTATTGGAAAACAAACGGAAATAAAATCTATACAGATGGTTCCAAAAAAAGATTTTATTTATGTTTCGAGACTAGCTCCGCAAACTAAAGCAGAAGACATCTGCTGTAACTTGTTGAGACCCATGTTTCCGGAAGTACAGTGTACAAAATTGGACACGAAATATCCAGACTACTACTCTGCTTTTAAGGTTATGGTAGATCTTTTCAACTTTAATGATGTAATGGATGCTAATATCTGGCCAGTGGGCACTTACGTCTCTCGTTATTTTCACAAGAGGAATTCGAGGAAAGAAACAATGTAACATCTCCAATATTTAACGAGTGGTGTGAAAAAACGGTTAACGAAAAAACCGACGTCAATGGTAAGTGTGAGGGTGTCTTCAATTTTACATCAAAATATGCAGTGCCTTTATAATAAACTAAACAAGGTAGATGTTATTCTGTCAGAAGTGCAACCCCTTATATTGTTAGTGACAGAGCACTGGCAATCGCAAGAGCAGCTAAACTGTATTAAATGAAGTAACTATAAACTGTCGGCTAGTTTTTGTAGAGAAAAACAGAAGCATGGCGGTCAGTGTTGGGCAGTATCTAGATACTTGTATCTAAATAAAATATCTAGATACATTTTTGGGTGTCTAGTATTTGTATCTAAATAAAATCGAATTTAAGCACAAAATACCTGTATCTATAAGGAATTCACGTTCGGTAGATGTAACTAGATTTGGTATTTTTTTTTTTTAAGCTGTGTAACTGCGGACATAATTGTTCTAGTGTATAATGTATTACTGGAATGTCAGAAAGTAGGTATCAAAAATGTGACATGTAAGTAAGTAAAGGTCAAATATCGAAAATGTGATGGTTTTGTGGTAATCTGGTGAATCTATTTTTGAACCAAGGAGAAAATCGCATCCCTCTAAAGCCCAAAGAGCAACCCGCATGTAAAATTTTGAATCTTTTCCCTTCACTAGTTTTTTTAGGAGGACAAGCTTTGATGTCATTATCATGGATCCACAATTTCACCATGGATCCGTTCTGGTATATCCATGTCTCATCCAAGAAAGTGAAAAGTAAATCTTCACCACAATCACGCAATTGGAGATAGGTACCGCCTTAGAAATTTGATTCTGGCAGCTATAACGTGTTTAAAATGTGAAAAACTTCGCCTTCGGAAACCTAAATTTATACGTGTATTACGTACAATTATTTTCAAAGCCGAGTGTTTTACCTCTTACAAACAATAACGATTATATAAAACTTAAAAACCAATTGTAGAACGGAACCAACAAAGTATGTAGGTATATAAATCTGCGCAGTCGTCTTTCTGATTCTGATTATAATATTAACGGCACAAGCGCCGCTGTATCTGTATTATTTTAAAATTCGAAAAACACTCGACAACACTAGCGAACTTTACGGAGAATATTTCTGCCACTGTTTCCGTTTTACCCAATTTTTTGAAAACCACGAAATATTTCTTGTTTCTTTTCCTTTAAAATGAGCTTTCTCGTGATTACTTTTATGGAAATTGTTTCCATGCTGTATTTAAGGATTTTCTTGAAACGAAGCATGTTGAAATTAGAAAAACTTCGTTTTTTTCCACACAATTCAGTTTTGACATTTGAATTAGAAAATTAGACAGTTGATGCCAATCTTAAATTTCTAGTGATCTTAAGATTGCAACTTAACCACAGAAAAGTTTCTGTCAGTTACTTCTACCGAACGTGAATGCTTATTAGATACAAAATTATTGGCGCAGATACAGATAAATTTTTTTATTTCACTTTTTTTTCAGTAGTTATTAGTTGAGTTATACTAGTAGTAATTTTTAATACTTCATGTTGGTGATTTTGGTCACATAAACAAAAATAGAGGTAAGAGGTTCACTAATAGTGTTCTGTCACGGAAATCTTCATATTTTAAATACCATCATTTCCTACATTGTAGCCTTCAGTACTTATACATCTTTAAATATAATTCTGAGGGGTAAGAAATCTAACCCATGGTAAGATGGTATTTTAAAAACCATAAACCACAATTCACTATTCACTGCGTTTTACGCTTATCGGGGCAATGCATTTTATCTGTGTACCTGAGAAACCCGGGTCCGGTAAGCCCGCTGGTTGTATTTGTGTTATTAAATAAGAGTAATTTTAATAGTAAAAATATTTGTTTATGGTATGTTATTATTTTTAGAAAATAATAATTGCATGTTACATAATGATTAATTTTTTCAATTAGCACAAATTAGTTCTGTAGTCGACTAATCGAATGTTCAATACATACATTTCTCTCGCAAAAATCGCATATTTGTTACTGTTTTATACCTTTATTTTTCAGACAAATGTAGCATCTTTTTCTGTTGCCACATGTGTCATTTCTTCACTTTTTCATTGTTGGACCTAACGCGAGGTGGGCTTGGCAGGTCCGTTTTGCCCTAGAATGTGCCGATTACGTTTAAGTGTCTTGGACAATAAAATTAATATTTTTACAACCCTCGGTAGAATAATTTATCGTGATATATTCTCAGAAATCGTGAAACGAGATTAAAATAAAATGAGTTTCAACAAAAATCTGAAAATTTAAAGTTGCACTCTGGTGATTCCGGCCTGCCAGGCAGCCTTTGATCCTATAAGGAGTTTAAATACCCTTCTAAGAAATTGTACTTATTTTCCCTTAAACGGAACCAACAATTCTTCCTAAAATGTATATACCTGCTGCACCGGGATAGACGATTACCGGACATGGTCATCAAAACATCGTAAGCCGATATTGAAGAATAAAAATTTATGACAGGTTGCCGACAACAGACCTTCAGCACAGAATAATCATTTCCCGTATTCTTTTGAAATATTAATTTTAATGCTGGAGATAATTATTAGATGTACTCAAACACAATTTGGACACTGTAGTATGGGAATAAAAACAAAAAAAAATATTCTTTTTAAGCGTACGTAATAAATATTGCACAATTTGCGACACATCGAACAGCGAAGCGATGGCCTATTTGCAGGAAAAAAGAAAAGATTTTTCAGTCTTGAATAACTATGCTACAGTAAAATGTTTATTTTTTAAATTTAATAGCACAATCCCTTCTTCTGCACTTGTTTGTGGCTAGCTTTGTAGGCAGTTTGTGCCAGGATACTACATGATGAAGTTATGCGCTGAATAGTTTCGGGTTTTTCTTTACAAAGGCGACAACAGTCGGTTCTTATATTTGGATCTTTATATATTTTCTATAATTCTTGTTATTAATTGGTGTTGAATAGCAAACGAAAATACACTTTTTGCACTAGTGCGATAAAGAAATATTTTTCCACTCAAAATAATGCAATGCCCGATCAGGCAAAAAATTTAATTACTTGTGTGTTTATTTATTATTATATTAGACATTTTATAGGGCTCTGTTCCAACCGCTTCGCGTCGTGCTTCAAAATTGAAACCTCGCTTATAAAGTGCAGTCTACCCCACTCTAAATGTAAAAATCTACATATTACGAAAATCCAATTCGTACGACTTTTGTTATAATTTATTTGACAAATAACATACTACATAAACGTCTACTGGCTACCTGTTATTATGAGTAACAGGTTAACTTGATTTGATTGTTTTAAAATATTACAAAACAAAAAATCCAAACACTTGTCTATACGTCATTCAAGGTTGCATAATTGCCGATTTTAAATTTGAATCACGATAATATCCGCACCAAGTTACAGAAATTCTTTGTTACGAATAGTAGTAGCGAATGATTTCAGTAGTAATTTTTATTTAATTAAATTGCTGCTGAATCTATGTACGTTGTTTAAGCAAAGATGGTTATTTACTAAAAAAGTGTTGCGTTGGAGTAGTTGAAAACTAAACTATTCTTTTAATTTCAGTTTGTAATCGGCTGTTATGGAAGAAAAAAGGACTCCAAGAGGTGGTGGTTCTAAAGTATCAGAAATTGCAAATAAATTTCAAGCACAGATTCCTAACACTTGCGATGCTTCAATGAAAATCAAAGCTAAGGTGGATACAACCTCGCAAGATTTAGTGGAAGAGGTATCGGGAGGAAATGTTGTGAGAACAGAATCCCACGTAACTAGATTTAATCATGCACGTGCTCTATTTGAAAAATTAGGGGAAGAAACCCGTAATAATTGCGAAAAGCATGTAGTGCCCGTAACAGTTAAAAGAATTAACAGCTGCGACTTGAAATTGAAAGTCAACGTATCGCAAAGTGAGACTATTAATTCTCATGAAGAAAGATCTAGATCACCATCGCCAAAACTTACAAAGGGCAACGATGTTGTGTTTCCAGATGATCACATAGGCTTTATAAGCAAAACTAATGGTATTAAATCAATTAGTTCGAATGAAACTAGTTGTAAAACAGATGAAAATCAGAAACGAATTAAATCAAATTTTTTACTAAAAACTAATAAACCTGAGAAACCAGAGAAACCCGAACGCAAACTTAATAGCAAAGAACTTATTGAAAAGCAGCGGAATTGGACGTCACATTTCTCAAAATCACGAATTATACGTTACAATAGTGATCCAAATAAAAATGAAATACAATTTGTCGTAAATGAGAAGGAGAACGATTCTAATCGACAGATAACTAGTAGAAATATCTCCTTGATTAGCAAAACAACATTGTTGGCTCAACCTGAGTATGCGGAAAATTTCCGAAGGAAAAACATCAGCAAAAAAGAACGTCCGGCTTCAGTCATTCCAACAATTTGCAGTAACATTGAGGTTAATCTGGAAAATTCTGCGCCCAAAACAACACATTTTAATGAAGTTCACAAAAGGAAAGAAAAATCAGCAAGTTGGATTTTAGTATCCTCAGGAAGCAATACTGCGGAATTTTTATCGAAATGTCATTCAGAACAGAATAAATGTTTACCAGATGATATCTCAAACACTAGGAATGAACATAATAGTGAAAAATTGTCACGTTATTTTCTACCTGTACAAAATGATGAGGTCCACAATGATGTTGCCAATCTAGAAAGTCCAAGGATATCTGACAATTTTGTGATACCAGTTAGTTCTAGCAAAGCTAATTCTGAACTAGAGAAGCAGGAAAATGAAGAAAACGAAAAGTCACTGGGAAAATGTAAGTAGATAATTATATTTTCGTCCGTATCAGGCGTGTTATTTGTATATTTAGTTACATTTAAAGCTCTATTTTTTTCATTTCTCAAAGGGATTGAAATGGTTTCATTTTATTAGAAATTTTAGATTTAAATAGAAAATAGTTTTCATTTCCTGAGCGTAAGTTAGAGTCCATCCATCTCACGAATGGGTGCTTTAATGTTTTCTTGACATTTCATGACCCATAGAGGAAAAAGTTGGTCTCGAGTTTCCGTCTGTCTGTCGTCTATGTCGATTTTTATTAGATAGTTAATCTCCGAAAGTACTCTACCGATTGTCGACAAATTTTATAGGAGTATAAATTTTAGGTAGAATTGTGTAGATGGTAAAACGCTAAATAAAATGTTTTCAATTCATCCCCATCAATAATTTCATAACTTCTGCTTATTATGTTACCTAATGAAAGTTATCTAGTTTTATGGACAATAAAAAAAAGTGAAGAGTGTAAAAGAGCATCATATTACTGACGTTTTTGTGGGGATAAACTGACCGAACAAAGTTTACAAGCTAAGAAGTATCACATACAGCTGTCATCTGTAAGCTATCTTATTTAATTTTTGAATTTTGAAAACCTGGGTATTACAAGCTTTTTATAGAGCTCATCGTGCACACGGTGTTGTACTATCACTTCTGATTAGTTCTTCGATTAGTATTTACAATGTTTTATGGATCACTGTTAGCCTTGACAAAGTATTATAATCCTCCTTTGTTCTCTACTGTTCACCTGACCGTGGTCTGCTCCACCTTGTATGTTATTGCTATCAGCTACCTTAAAATACCCTAAGGTGTGAAGCTTTGTAATCCTTTGTTAATCTAATCCCTTCATTTAATCTAATATCAGTTATAATGAGTTCATGTGCAAATTGCAATTCATTTATTAATCATAATAGCTCTCACATTAACTGCGACGTCTGTCAAAATGCTGTTCATTTTAAATGTGTTAATTTATTGGAAAATGACATAAAAATGACAAGGGGCAAATCTAAATCGGTAAAAGTGGTTTGCAATGAATGTAGCATAAATATTACTCAATGCAAGAACGTCAAATCCATTGTTCATACGCTACGTGAGGAATTTTCGAAATCATTGGATAAAATACGTCAAAGTTTTCAGGATGAAATCAATAATTTAAAAAGTACCCTTCCCTCGAAAACTGTCTCGTCTAACTCGGTAGAATTCGAGGAAATTTGACAAAAACAAAATAATGTTATTATCTTTGGAATACCTGAAAACACTTAACCCACTCTTAACAGCTGAAGAACGTCAAAATAAGGATGTGGCAATGGTAAGCGAGATCCTCAAAACTGTTTAAGTCGAACAATGAACCCCGAGATATCTCAAATAAAAAGATTAGGAAAATATAACAAAAATAATACTCGATCGAGACCAATTAAGATTTGTCTAAATTACAGGAGTGATGTTCTAGATGTTATAAAGAATGCTAAATGTTTGAAGGATAACCCAAATTTTAGTACTATTATTCTTTCTTTCGACCGGACAAAAAAACAAATAGATTTCTATTAACAATGGAGAAAAAGATCTTAAGATAAGATACGTCAATGGTATACCAAATATAGTATCTTTAAACTAGTTAGTTCGCCCAATTGCAGATTTCCCATCAACTGCATTTATCAAAATGTCAGGGACTACGTTCCAAAACTACTGATTTCTATCATTCAGTCTCATCGTCTAATTTTGATTTAATACTTCTCACGGAAACTTGGCTTACTAATAAGATATCTACTACAGAAATTTTTTGTATTCAGAAAAGACAGAAACTTACAGGAACATGGTGTAACAAGAGGTGGTGGAGTTCTCCTTGCCGCGAATATAGTCTTTGCCATTTCTATTGAAACACCACCTGTTGACTTTGCCTAAAATTTAGCAATTGCTAACAGTTTTCGGTTGATTGACAACGGCTTTTAGTTAGAAAATTGTGTGAATATGAACGTTGCCAAATTTACGATCAACAAGTGGTGTTTCAATAGAAATGGCAAATACTATACACACTTTCATGTAACACATCTCGATTTATCTTTCTTAACAGATGAGGTTCCTCTGATCGATATTGTAGGTGTAAAATTAATAAGTAAGAATGTATTTATTTTTGTTCTCTATATTCCCCCCGCAATTTCTTTGCATGATTTTGAATTATTTTTTTAAATTTTTAATAATTACTTATTGCTATGTAACAGTAAGGATATTTTAATTGTTGGTGATCTCAACACACCTACTTTTTTCGAATACAAAAATGATAGATTCTCTTTGCAATTAAATAATTTTAGTAACATACATAATTTACAGCAGAGCAATAATGTGGTAAACAATTATAATCATATTTTAGATTTAGTTTTTTTCCACTTTCATTTGTGGAGTCTGTAAAACTCCTATTTCTCTAGTGGAAGAGGATAGACACCACCCAACTTTACTTTTGGAATTTTTCTTATTCTGACAAAAATGCAGTTTTGATACTAACGACAATACTGATCAATGGAATTTTAAAAAAGCAAATTTTCCTTTAATGTATGATATGCTCTTAAATACCGGTTGGTCCTTTCTAAATAAGCATCAAAGTACAGAGGAATCATGCACAAAATTATACAACAAATTATATGAAATGTCTAACCTTACGGTGCCAAAGTTTCGTAAAACACCTTCGCGTACCTCGTTTTATCCTCCATGGTTTATTCAGGAAGTAATTCGATCCATTCAATTTAAGCCTGCTGCCTTTGCTAGATACATACGTTACAAGTCACCCTACTACTACAATCTCTTTAAAAAAAACCCGTACGAGTTGTAAAATTCTCATAGAACAGATCTATAGGCATTATATTATAACTAATATTGAAAATTCTATTTATGATGATCCAAAGCAATTTTGGACATTTGTAAATAGTAAAAAGCGCAGAACAAGAATACCCGGGATTTGTCCACCTCAATGGAGCAGAATTTACCTCATCCCATGAAATAGTAAACGCATTCAAAGAATATTTTCAATCTGTGTATACACTCTCAGATCCTAATTATATATGTACCCCCGAAATTAAACATGTATCAAATGAAGTGGTGACAGTTTCACATATTAGTCAAAAAGAGATTATAAGTGCATTAAAACGTAGCAAAAACACTTTAACTTCCGGTGCTGATGGGATACCGAGCTTTCTATTACGCGATTGTGCTTCCGTTCTTGTCACTCCTCTGTATATGTTGTTTAATCTAGTACTAAAGAATAATGAATTTGCCAACATATGGAAGAAAGCCTGTGTAACTTCAGTTCTTAAAAAAGGTCATCCTGCTCAAATAAATAACTAGACCCATTTCTATATTGTGCAACTTTGCAAAAATTTTTGAATCATGTTTGTAAAACCAGATTTATTCAACTATCAAACATATTATCTCTCCTTACCAATACGGTTTTGTGAACCAGAGATCGACAATAACGAATTTGGGGTGCATTACGCAATTTGTTTCGGAAACTCTCGATAATAGAGGACAGATTGATGTGATTTATACGGACTTCGCCAAAGCTTTTGACCGCATAGATCATCACATTCTGTTAAATAAATTGTCAGTTCATGGTTTTTCGAAATCTCTTTCAGTTTGTTATATTCATACATGACTAATCGGCAATATTCAGTGAGATATCGGAATTTCTGGTCTGAACCATTTACTCCAACTTTCCTCAAGGTTAAAATTTAGGTCCTCGTCTGTTTTTACTATTTGTCAATGATCTACCCGACTTTATCAATAACGATAAGTTACTCTTCGCAGATGATTTGAAAATATACGCTAAGATTAATTCAATCCTGGATTGTGAGAGTTTACAAGCTGATCTATGTTCCTTATTGAGATGATGTGTCCTAAATAAATTGTATTTAAATGTATTAAAAGAAAAAAGTTAGTTTTGTTGTATTCCTACATGATTGATGGTGTCACTCTAAACAGATCTCAAAAGATCAAAGATTTAGGTATCATCTTTGATGAATCCTTTACATTACAGGAATTACCGCATCGTTGCAGCCCCGTAGCTACGGGAAGGCAAGATGGGGCTGACCCCCCTTAGCGGTTGTAGTTGCCCCCACTGGAAGACTTACACTTTAAAAATTGCAGATTAGTAATAAAATTTCAATACAATGCCGATTGCCGAAGCATATTTACTAGCCCCACCCGCCCGCTATTTATTTTCTTACAGGGTATGTTATTTGGCAATATCAGACTAACATTAATGTTGACCGTATAAGAAAATGAACTGTCATGTCACATTTTATTCCATAGCCTACTACTAAACATACAAAAAAATAAATTGAAACAAATTGGTTGTTACCTAGTGTTATTAGCCACTGCACCAATTTTTGGATGCAGTACAGCTGTTTGTGAATCTACATTCTTAGTCCGGTCAAATTAGACATTCGGTGCTACATAAATTCGCAACAAGCTGAATTTTGGTACAATTGTTCAAAATACAATTATAAACAAAACCTGAAATTTCCCCATCATTCCCGTGTATGGAAAAATTTTTATTCAAAGTAAAATGTCAAAAAAATAAGTTTAACTGCGTTAAAAATCTAGGTTTACAATTATTTTAATGTCCTTTCAAATGTAAAAACTGAGAAAAAATAAAGTAGTTATCTGAGTGTATTATTAAAATATATATATTCACATGAAACCCCCTCTGTCGACAAACTTGCCCCCCCCAAACTACCTACCTACCTACCTAGCACCATCTGTTGATTTGTGGAGGGTGTAAAATACCATAGCCTGCTTGGTTTTACTGCGCATGTGTATTTAATTCTTTTTAGTAATTCTGATTTTTAAAATTTTGAAATAAATAGATATTACAATATGAGAACAGTTTTATTTTATATTTTTCATATGCAATTTCTTTTTGTACATATTCACGGCAGTCTTATAAATTTTGTTATGTAATGAACACCTAGTGTCTTTACCAGTTAAAATTAGATT